GTATTTGTATGGTGTTTCTATAAACAAATTAAGTTTATATGAAAACCATATTAATAAATTTATTTTAATTTTTCAAGGTTGTTTACTGATCCTTTTTCTATTCGTCGAGTTTTTCAACGTGCTATACAAATAAGTTTTGAACAACCTGAGCAAATACTTGCAGCATTTATTCAGTTTGAGCGTCGATATGGTTGGTTTTTTTTCTTTACTTAGTATGTTTATGTTGTTACATATCAGTATTACAGCTTCTGGTTATAACTATATTAGGCCATTTTTTATGAGAGTGGTAGTTGTTATACAGGGTGTTAGATTGATATACAGGGTGTTGGGTTATGCTCATTACAGTTAATGACAGAAAAGCTTAAGAAAAAATGGGTATAAGGGGTCATCCATAAATTACATCACACAATTTTTGACCGTTTTTGACACCCTCCTCCCTCGTCAAATAATCAAAACACTTTAGTAGCAAGTTTTGTATAAAACGTCACAAAATTACTAACCCCCTTCCTTCCCATTAGAATGTAATGTTGTTTATGGACGACCCCTAAGGCAAAATAACATATGTCATTTATTTAAGTTTTTAGTAATGTATTTTTAATGTTTTCAATTACGAAAATGTTTAGATATTCTGAAATATCACTGTTGTGATATTTTTAGAATACCCAATTTATGTAGATTATAATTCGTGAAAAATAATGTGTTTAAATATTGATATATTTTTGTATATAATAAATAAATACATTTAATACAGAGGTGAAAAGTAACGAATTACATTTACTTGCATTACTGTAATTGAGTAGTTATTTTGAGAATTTCTACTTTTTGAGTATTTTTTCAAATGTGTACTCTTACTTTTACTTAAGTACTTTTTTTCTTAAGTATTTCGCTACGTTTGAAATCATATTAGATATGAAGATTTGAATTAGATTTGAAATCATATTAAATCATAGCGTTACTGAGTAAAAAAAATTATTATGTATTGTTTAATTTCACAAATACTATGATTTAATTTTTTTGTTTTTTTGAGTTTTGCTCACTTTAATAAAAATAACACTTTTAAATTGTTTAGAAAAAAATGTTAAGCGCACTCATAACGAGTTTTAACTCAACGGTTAAAAGTGGAAGTAGTTGCCACTCCTTTGCATTTGTTCTCTATATTAATTGATGTATGTAGTGAAGCCTCAGTCAGTTCATGATTTAGTACTAAAAAATTTTTTTTCAATTTTTTAAAATTCTAATGGGGTAAAAGAGACAATTTTCAGGGCATTTTTTACCATTTTTAAAACAATATTTAGGAAGTATTAAAATAATTGAATTTTTTGAATTTTTTAATATTTATGTTTGTAAAGACTTATTTAATCAAAATAAAATGGACTCTATTCTAATAAAAAAATTTTAAACTTATAAATATTGTTTCAAAAAACACTAAAATCCATAAATATTTAGCAAAGCACTTAAGTATAAAATATTTTTAAATACTCTTAAAACTCATAAAAGTGTATTTTTGATTTACTTTTAATAAAGTACTATATTAGTTTCTCAATTATAATCAGCTTCAGACTATTATTATGGAAAATATGGAAAAGAGAGAGCCTGGACTGGGATTGAAGATATATTTTCTGTAATCAATAGTTAAAACCATACAGTTTTTACTAATTAAATTTTTTATTAGATAAATAAAAATATATAAAACTATAAAATTAAATATATAAAATTGTTATTAACAAAAAAAGCTTATAAAACTACCTTTATTGTTTTAGCAACTTTTTTGTAATCTGTTTTTTCCCTGTTTTTTCTGTTTTTCTTATAATTATTATTTTTCTTTCAAAAAAAAAAATAATACTAAATTACTAAAAAAAAAAAATACTAAAAAAACTAAAATTCTAGAAAAATAGTAAAATACTAAAAAAATAAAAAAAAGTCCTTAACTTTTGAATTTTGGGCAGGAAACAAAATTGCTCTAAGTCAGTATCTGTTTCCTCGTCTAATTTATCACTGGTGTAATTAGCAGAATTTAGATAATATAAGTCATTTTTGTATAGCTCTGCTGATAGATTTTTATTTAACTTTGATATGCTTCATTTATTTCTTCATAAAGAACACTTGTATATTTTAGCTTTATCTCCAAGTCTTCCTTTTCTTTCACCAAGCTGGTCTTTTAAGAAAACAGTATCTTCTTCCTTGTCTTTCATTTTTCTCATTTTATCTTTTAATACGATAATATTATTCCTCAAACATAACATGAAGATGTTCTCCAATCCAAGATTCTTTTTTAATTTATTCTTGAAATGTCTTTTTCCTTTACTTCATTAAATTTTGTTCTGTATATTTTATCTTTTAATTTCATTCACTCCTTCAGCAATTTCTCATATTTTATCCTGTAAAAATATTGTTTAATAGTATAAAAATTTATGGATTAAAATGATTTAGAACTTGTTGAAAAATTACCTAAGCTTTTGTATTATAAGCACTTTAAATCCACCATGTATCTAAGGAACCATAAGTTTGTATAGTATACAGCAGTCATACTGATCAATTGGACAATTAATAAGAACTTTTGCTAAGACAACCTACTAAGACATTTATTCTTATTTCACTATTTATAGAGATAATATTGAATTATCTCTTTTTAGCAGTTGCAAATTTTTTTGCCGGAAATATTTTAATTAACTTTTTATCTAAAAGTATCCTATCTATTACTTTTTTTTTTGGTACCATTTTTTTTGGTACTATTTTTTTTTGATAACATTTTTTTTTGGTACCATTTTAGTAATTTCTTTAATATATAATCCAAAACAAAATTTACTATAAAAATATATTTCAAGAAAACAATTTATTCACTGAAAAAATGTATAACTTAATCTAAACAATGTAAAAAAATGTATTTATGGTTTTTAGGGTTTTTTAAAATGATTTTATTAGTTCAAATTATTTTTTTAAAATAGAGCCTATTTTATTTTGATTAGATAAGTTTTTATAAACATAAATATTAAAAAAAATTAGAAGTTATAATTTTAAAACTACCTACAGTCTTGAAAATGGTACAAAACACCCTAAAAATTGCTCTTTTCTACCCCATTGAATTTTTAAAAATTAAAAAAAAAAATCTTTATTACTAAAAATTGGTCTAGAAATTGATAGACTAGGGCTTTTTTTTTTCAGACACAACCTTTTTTCGAAACACTTTATATATATATATATATATATATATATATATATATATATATATATATATATATATATATATATATATATATATATATATATATACACATATACACATATACATATACATACATACATACATACATATGTATATATGTGTGTGTATATATATAAATGTATATATAAATGTGTGTGTGTATATATATATATATATATATATATATATATATATATATATATATATATATATATATATATATATAAATGTTTTTAGGCTCTCTGACAGAGCTTGATGATGCTCAGCAGAAAGTGGATACACAAATGTTTAAAATTAAAGAGAAAAAAGAAAAGGTAATAAAAACTCTTTAAAATTTTTAATATTAAAAAAAAATTTAATTTTTTTATATTTATATATTTTAAGGAAGCCTTAAATCTTATATTTAAAATTTATATATTTTAAGGAAGCCTTAAATCATCCACCAGAGAACATTGTTAAGAACCTTAAGAAAGATCAAGTAAAGGTTGTTACTTTTTTTTTTTTAATTATAGTAGTTTAAATTATTTGAGGTGTTGCACAGTTTTGTACTTTTATGTTGCAAAATATGCATTAGAGCAGTTCCAGAAATTAGCCAAGAACATTTTTAATGTGTAAAGTATTAATTTCAAGGAACTTATGACAGTTATCTAATAAAAATAGGACATAAGTTTTATTAAATACAAATTTTTCAATTTGCAAAATAGGGTGTTCAATAAAATAACATTTTTGAAAAATATCTGCTGTTTCCCCTTAATGTGTTCTATATAAAAAAATAACACTAGATTAAGAAATTTATTGAATAAAAAATGTATTTATAATATTGCATCATAACTTAACCCTAGTTTTACTAAACTAAACAAATAAGCATAAAATAAAGTGCCATCATTTAGATATTTATTTAAAAATTAAAAATTAAACTTTTTCAAAATCCTGGGTATAAATGGGGAGGGAATAGGTTAAAACCTTATACAAAATTTTGAAATAGCTTTGCTGCTAAAAATAGTTCAAAGTTAAATACATGTATTAGAAACATTAAAACTCTAGATTCTGTGAATCGGCAGCTTTTGTTTTGAATTGAATATCAAATCAAAGCAGGTCTTGATTCGCGATTCAAATCATGTTTCGAATCAACGTTTTGAAGTCTAACTTTAGGCATTTTTTATTTAATAATATATATTCCTAATTAAATAAAATAAAACATTTTTATAATCTCTTTATTAATGCTTCTTGCCCTGGTTAACCTTTTTGATGACCGATTAAAAAGGTATTTAAGGATAAGCAATGTTATTTTGATAGCAAAAGATATCTAAAATACCCTCAACAAAAACAAAATAAGTAAGGATTTGATTTTTGAAAATTTTTAAATTGTAGCTTGAATCATGTTTTTGATTCGATTCGAAATTTCGAAGCAGGGCCCTAATTAAAACATCTGCTAAAATACAAAGAAATTAAAAATAAATCTATATTAAATTTAGATTTGTAATGATTTTTCTAAGTCTTCTAGCTCCAAAAAATGCAAATCTGATATTTTTTCAATTGAGATTAATCAGAGCTCTTCTATCTTTCTAAAATACACAAAAAAAAATTTGCTTAAAATGTCTGTCAATAAAAGATAATATAAACAGAGGATTTTAAAAAATAACATGATGCTGGTTTGTTCAAATTATGATCAACGATATATGTTTAGGTCGTAGCTAAGAGCGCTAATGCTGTAGATTAATTGCTGTGAAAAACCTTGAATCATTGGCATTTGAACAAGATATGTGGCTTCTTACATAATCAAAGAAAAAAGGATTATAGTACAAAAAAAAATTTCAGATTTATTTTTTTCAGCCACCTGCGGACAACCTCTGATGATAAGTTTTGGTTGTCCTGAAAACAAAGGAAATCCAGTAAATCTTTTATGAAACATTCAAGCAACTTCAAATAAATCTTGACCTTTTAAACAGAGAATATAGAAAACCCATTTCTACTCTAAACAGGGCTGCTAAAAAGAGAATTGTACAGTCAGTGACTAGAGTTGCTAAAAAAACGTGTTTTTTTGCTATCATGTTTTTTTTTTGTTTTGTTTTTTTAGTTTTTTTGCATTTCTTTGGCTTTTACAGATTCCTATAGTGTTTTTGCTTACTTATTTTAACTTTTTTAAAAATATTTTCTGAATATCTTTTTAATATAAACTTATCTAAAATGTTTCTATTTAGTTCTGTTTGACTATTTTAGATTCTATATTAGATTATATTAAAATTAATCTAGTTTTATATAAGTATGAGCAGACGAAAGAGTTAATAAAATACTGATTTTTTTTTATTTTTTTTTGCAAAACATTTTTTTATTGGTAAAAATGGTTAACAATTTATTTTTATTTATTTTTAGATTTTGTTCAATTTAAAATTAAAAATTTGATAAGAAACAATTTTATTTAAAGTTTTTTATTTAAAATTTATTTACAGAAGAATCCTGAATAGAAATTTATTTTGATTTGTGAGAAATTTTTATTGATTCGTGAGATTTATTTAAAATAGTTATTTTTTATAGTTATTTTTTCATTAGGGAAGATTGTTTGTTAGGTTGCACACATATACATTGCTTCAAGTTTTAAATTTTGTGATACAAACACTAATTTTACTGCTCTTTTGTTTGTCAATCTTTTTCTTTTAGCACTGAATATTTGCATAACTGCTAAAATATATATATAAATACATAGTGCTTCTATGTGGTAGTACCACACTCAACTTGTTTCTCTGTTCATCCGTGGTAGTACCACACTTAACTTGTTTCTCTGCGCAGCGGCCTAGTTCATCAAGGTTCGTAATTTAGAGTTTAAAATATGTTGTAACCACAACTAAATTAGCCTCCTCGTCTGTTGTGGCCTTCTTGTCCTTGGGAAGGTGAATTAACCTTAAAAAAAAAGCTAATTGGTAATTTCCTTAGTCCTAATGTCAAGCATTCTTATACTAGATTAAAAGACTCATGTAATTACTTAATGGAGTTTAAAAAATTACACCTTATTCATAACATGGAAGGTCCACATTATGTAAGCCCACATTGCTCATTTTTGTAAAAAAAAATCAATATGTTCTAGCCAGTCCGTGGAGATAACTTGCATAAGGCAGTTTCAGACTTCTCATAATGAAGATAACTGTATCTTGGAAACAATACTAATTAACTTTATAAATATCATTTAATAATTTAGTTAAATGTAAAAATGTTTCTTTATAGATTTTGTCATAGAACTGATTGCAAATTACCGAGAGGCCAGTAACATAGCTTTGGATGCACACCTAATGATAGCATTGGATGAACATCTTTTTTTTATTTGGGTTTGCGAAAGTTAATATTAGAACAACAAATATGATATTTTCTAGCAGGAAAATGGTAATATTATTCTGCAAAAAAGGTGCCCTAAAAGTGAACCCTAGAATTTTAAATGGGTTCAGTTTTAAATTTCAAAATAAATATTCAAATGATGGCATATTTTTTTAGTTAAATAAATTATGATTTGTGGGTTGATTCACGACACAGTACCCAAGCCCCTTGAACATTTATTTTGTCCTTAATATTATCAAAAAATAAAGTTTTTCAAAAGTGTGTTATGCTGGATCTCAAATGAAGTAAAATTTTATGAAAATTTTAAAAATGATTATTATATCATATAAAAAGTTATTCGATTTTAGTGCAAGAAAAAATGACATTAATTATAACTAAAAAGTGCATTTTTACCAATTTTTTACCATTACTTTTTTTTTCAATAAGTTTTTTATAAATAAGCAAAATCAAATAAGCAAAAACCAAAAAAGCAAAAAAATAAATTGTATAAAAATAAAATTACAGATATAACAAAACCTCAACATTCAAATTACAGATATAACATAATCTCTTAACTTAAATAATTTTTTGTACAGCGTTTTATTTATGTTTTCTCTTTAATTTTATTTAAAAATATTTTATCTTCGTTTGGATCATTTTTGCTAATTGGAAATTCTTATTTTAGCTCTTTGGTCTTTTAAATACTTTCATTAACTGACGATTAAAAAAGACTTATGGTACACACTGTAATATTTGTATTCATATTTGCATGCAGATAAAACAATAAATCTGTGTTGTTGTTTTCAAATAAACAATACTGGGTTTGGTTCCTTTTAGTTTTTTGTGCTTAGCACATAAAACTCCTTTGTCTCAAATTTTTTTTATACTTCTCTCATAAAGTAAATTTATTTTTTCTCATAACTCAACAAATTTAATGCTTAATTGTGAAATGTTTTGTTGAACTTTTTTTAGCAGTTGTTTTGTTGAGCTTGTAGATAAACTTTTTACATTTTTTAAATTCAACTAACTTGTTTAAATATGATTGGTAACAAAAAGATAGCAGTCCTAAAAACCAAGACCTTGTGTGACAAGTTCTACTTATAAGTGACAACTTTCCTATTTTAATTATTATTCTGCACAGAAATTCAGTTTTATTGTTTTAAATATAAAAAGAACGTTTTATTATTTAGTTATATAGATAATATTAGAAGAATATATTTCTTAGTTATATGCATTTTATACTTGATTATACTTAAATATAAAATACTCTCTTTTTCATTTTTGCTTTAGAATTAATTCAATAAATTTGTGTTTCTTTTGTTGATAATGTGTAACTTTTTTTATTTCTTAAAAAGATTTAAATTACATATTGGTTTGTTTTCTGCTTTAGTTATTTAAGCTTATTGTTTTTTCATTAATTATACTTTTTTTTTTTTAAGGTAAAAACACTTAATCTTTACCTAATCAATTTACATTTTTAATTAAAAAATAACTACTTCATTTTTCATTTATCCTCAGATTTGTCATTTTTAAATGATAAAAATGGAATTGCTCTAATATGCATTACTGAAAGAATCTTAAATATATGTAATTGTGTACTTGCCTTAATGATAGAGTAGCATCCTTAGTCTTCTCACTTTGATATTTATTGCCAGCACACAAAAAAACACTGACCAGACGATAATTATTTGTCTAGCATGCTTTGATTAAGAATTTGATTAAGAAAAAAGATTTGTTGGAATTTAAAAACACGCTTGAACTTTTTTGGCGAGCGCCTAAAAAGGCGCCAGCCTTAGTATTAAAGGGCGTATGGGTGAGCGCAAAACTACAAGAGCGGGAAAGCGCTCATCAAACAGAGAAGACTGCATCCTACACGTTTACACAACATCTTAGACACTTTAAATGTTTTCAGGACTACGTTATTAGCTGTTGTTTTAATATTAATAAATTAATAATCTATTTACATTTTTAATTGAAAAATAACTACTACTAATAATAATAAATTAATAATAATAATGTTTGACTTAAAAGTAATAAATTAATATAATTTTTAGTTGAAAAAAAAAATGAAAAAAGTTACAAAAGAAAAAAATTTAAAAAGAAGTAATAATGAAGCGATGGAAGTAGAGTCTCCTATAAAAAAAAAAAAGGGTAAAATGTTTTTTTTTAAAATTATTATTACTTTAAAGCCACCTCTTAAAAGTGATGAACCACTAATGTTAAAAAGGTTTCAAATATGATATCTCAAAAATGACTAGAAGGGTAAAAATTTATATATTTATGGAGAATGTTGAGTGCAAAACAATAAAGTATGCGAGATGGTTCGTTTTACCAATATCGCAAATATTTTTTGTTTTGATAATTATTTTTAAAACTTTAGATGAAGCGAATACATTGGTAGACAAAGTAATTACTGAAACAGCTGTAAATACAGATTTTAATGTAGAAACTGTGCAAACTGAAGCTGCATTGGGTAAAACTGAACTTACTGAGCACCTTCCCACTTCAATGTCACCATTAAATGTAAATGATAGTAATCAAGTTGTTCTTAACGATGGTGAACAAGTTCGGTACAAATTTAATGACATATAATTTTGAGATAAAAAAATTTTGTTTCTATCATGATTTAATTTATTTATTGCTTTTATAGAAAGGTGGACAATGAGTCTAGCATATTCATCAGCAATTTATTATTTTCAGTTGATGAAAATCACATAAAAGATATGTTTGAAAAGGTTTGAAAATTACAATGTTATAAAAATACAAATAATTTGTTATTTTGTATATATGTATATGTATATATATATGTATATATATATATATATATATATATATATATATATATATATATATATATATATATATATATATATATATATATATATACACATTTTGTACAGAAAGTTTAAACGCGCTTGTTTTTCTATTGTGTATAATTCTTTTAAGAAGTTATAACCCAGTATATTGAGGTAGCGTAGCCTGTATTTTTGTGTTTCTTTTTGCTATTGGTATACTTCAACAATTTAAATAAGAAAAAAAATGTGAGTATATCATAAAGGAGGGTTGATGAGAATTTTTTTTTTTTTGCAAAACTTACTTATTGTCGTAAAATGCAGTCTCTTGCATTTTTATCTTGTGATAAAAATGCAAGAGACTGCATTTTATGACAATAAGTAAGTTATTGCGCATGAAAATATTGAATTTGTTTCATGCATGCTTTTGTTGATGTCAACTGATTTCAAAAAAATGGTGTAAAGAGTGTTTAAGTTATTCAGTAGATCAATAAAAATGATTATCTTTAGCAAAAAATCGATTTCTGAAATTATTAAAAGAAAAAACACTAGATTTGTTTGCCGCAAAAATAAATAAAAATATTTTAAGCATCACATTAAAAGATCTAGTCAAAAAATTGGTGGCTTTGTTGATATATTGTGTTCCATATCAAGCTCAGGCATTGGCTTTTATAAAATATAGGAAGGAAGATTAAATCAATATGGGTACTGTGACATTGGAAAATGTTCTTATCCCAGACAATTTATTTGAGGCTGATTAAAACTGGTTGTTTAAACAAGACAGTGGTCCATGTAAAACAGCACATTCAATTACTGATTATTTCTCTGAAAGTAATACGTAACTCATGCCCTGGCCAGCATGACTTAAACCCGATAGAAAATTTATGGAGCTTAATGGATTATCAACTAACAAAATAGTAAATAACTAGTTATGAAATGCTCAAAAAATACCAAAATCAATCAAGATGATTAAAAACCTTATTGAATCAATGCCAATTACAAGCATGTATTAAAAACAGTGGATGTCATCCTATATTAGTATGTTTCAGTTATGGAAATTTTGTAGGTGCATTTTAACTTTATTTCACTTTCTTCTCATTAAATTTTTTGGTTTCTTGTGTAGAATATTTCATTTCAGAAAAGATTTTGTATTGTTTTTTTATAACTTTTTTTTTTTCCCTAAAACTAGAGAGCCTATATACTCAGAGAGCAGACATACGTGTGATCGTTTTTGATTGGTTGTTCGATTTTTATGATTTTAGACGCCATCTTTTTGCCAAAAATACTAACTGCGATTAAAGTCTACTACTAAATTTGTATTAAATATTTGTAAAAGTATGCCTGGTTGTGCTGCAGTAGGCTGCCATAACAGGCCTGAGAAAGGATTTATTATGAAATGCTTCTCAAGAAATGAAAAACAACGGGCGATTTGGACTTCTAAAGATAAACGACTTAACTGGATACCTACAAACACAAGCTTTTTATGTGAAGTAAGCATAAGAAAATACAGTTTTATGTAATTAATCCTAGAAATGAGTTATTTTAGAATCCATACAAATACATTATATTCGTTCAAATTTTTTATTAAGGTACACTTTGATGCTGATCAATGGGAAAAAACCAGAGAAGATGGATCAAGAAAACTCAAACATAATGCAATTCCTACTGCCTTTAAACATGTTAGAGCAAAACATAAGCGAAAAAATCCACTCGAGCGTTTTCCAATACCAAAAAAAAAGAAAATAAGTTTTATTGAAAGAGGAGAAGTTGTGGAAAATGTTTTAATTGAAGTAAATAACAATGAAGTATCTGAATCAGTTTGCACAACTGTTAATAAAAGTTTACTTATACAAGATTTAAATGCGAAATTGGAGAGATTGGAAAAAAAAGTCATTAATCAAAAAAAAAAATTAACATTTTAAAACCGAAAGCAAGAATAAATACTATTCAAAAATATAATCATATAAAGAGAGATAAATTTAGAGTTTTGAAAACAATATTTAAAGAAGATCAAATTTTATCCTTAAGTAAAAAAAATATGAAATTCATTAAATGGTCAAATGATACTATAAATGAAGCGTTAGAACTCAAATTTACATGTGGTCAAAGTGGTTATGAAAATTTACTTCGTTTAACCTTACCATACCCATCATTACGTATCCTATGACGAAGATTAGAAAATCTAAAATTTCAAAGTGGCATTCTAACAGAAGTCTTTGAGTTTATGAAAACTAAGGTGAATGCCATGAAAATCTATGAAAAAGAATGTGTTTTAATTCTTGATGAAATGTCAATAACTGAAAGTGTTGACAATGACACATCTACAAGCTATTACTATGGAGTTGTTACATTACCTGAACATTATGGCTAAGCTAACCATGCTTTAGTTTTTATGCTTGGAGGAATATCTACAAGATTGAAACAAACTGTTGCATATTATTATACTGGAAGTTCTGTTAATGGGGGTGTTTTAAAAAACATTGTCCTATCTATAATAAAGTATACTGAAGAAATAGGATTAAAAGTTAATAGTGTTACTTCTGATATGGGTGCCATTAACCAGGCAATGTGGAAATCTTTTAATATTAGCTGTACTAAAAGTGGCAGTATTTCTAGTTCAGTTAAACACCCATGTGACCCTACTCGTACAATTGATTTTTTAGCAGACATACCGCATTTATTAAAGAATATAAGAACATCTCTTTTATGTAACAAACATTTTATAATAACAGCTAAGATTCAAGAAAAATATAAACTTCAATCGCCAATTATAGATTCAAAACACCTTAACAAGCTTGTAGATTTTCAAGAAGGTATGGATTTGAAGTTTGCTTACAAGCTTACATCTGAACATCTTGATGAAAAACATTTCAACAAAATGAAAGTATCAAGAGCAACATCTATAATGAATCATGATGTAAGTTGTGGATTAAAATTTATTGCAAGTGAAATAAAAGATGATTCTATTCTCACAACTGCTTGGTTTATAGGAATTGTTGATAAATGGTTTACATTAATGACTTCACGAAACCCAGGTATGGCTCTTAGCATGAAAAATGACAAAGTTTACAATGAAACAATAACTTGATTAAATGAAATCGTAGAGATATTAAATGGTTAAAAAATATTAGGCCAAACTGGAAAAATAAGGTGGAAACCTATTCAATCTGGTGTTATATTATCAACAACATCAGTTATTAACTTGCAAAATAAGTTTCTTCTAAAAAAAAAAGTTTGATTTTCTAATGACATCACGATTTACGCAGGATTGCCTGGAGAATCTTTTTTCCATGGTACGTGCAAAACAAGTAATTCCTACTGCTCTTCAATTTAAAAATAACTTGAAACTTATTTGCGTTGCCCAATTATTGAAAAAATCATCAAAAGGCAGTTATGATATAGATGACTGTCAATTCTTATCTGGTTTTCTTGATATAGTTAATAGTAAGGTGCATAAGCCACAGCAAAGAGAGTGCATTTTGTTACCTAAAGATTGGGATAAAACCTCTAACTTAATCTTAAGTAATGCTGAGCAAAATTGTTTGTTTCATATTGCAGGTTATATAATTTCTTGAGTTAAAAAAATTGAAAAAGTTTGCACAATTTGTTTTGAATCTCTAGTTTCTAAAAATAGACTTAATGCTGATTACACAAAGTTTGTTACAGACAAAGAGCACAAAGTGGGTAGTTTATTTTTTGCTAATGAAACAACATTTGCATTCTTTTTACAAATGGAGTTAATATTCAGATCATTTGAGCCATACCTTCAGGTTTATAACATTCAAACTTAAAATATTTAGCCTTAAAAAAAAGTGTTTATTATGTAAAAAGAAAAAAACTAAAAAAGGTTCTTGTGAACTTGGCAGCAAGAGTATGACAATGCATGCATTGGCACTAAAGGTTTAGGTTCAACTAATTTATAAAATAAACTGTAAAGCTTTTTTCAAATTACTTATTGATTACAACTACTTTTTTGCTGTGTTTTTTTTAAAGGTATTTCCTAAATAAATAAATAATTTTGTCGAAAAATAATTTTGAAAAAACAAAACATAAAAAGGTTTAATTTTTAAAAATATATTTCTGTTGAAAATATTATTGTGCTCATTTTCTTTCAATTGTTTTTACTTGAATTCGTGAATTTCATACACTAGTTTGGCAAAAACATGGCCGCCGTTCTTCCGTATTTTCCGTATGTCCGCTCTCTGAGTATATAGGCTCTCTACCTAAAACTTGACTGAGGAAAAAAGTATATAAATGAGGTTTGTGTGTGTGTGTGTGTGTGTGTGTGTGTGTGTGTGTGTGTGTGTGTGTGTGTGTGTGTGTGTGTGTGAGAGTAAATATCCATATACACTTATTTTATCATTATTATTTCTATTTTTACAACATTACCAATTTACAATTTTACAACAGTAAAAATAGAAAAATAACACCCACCAAAACAACACTACACCATAACGCAATCTCTGCAATGTTTTATAGTCAGTATCACACTTTTTTATTATCTATTCCTCGACTTAACTTTGGACAAATGACCTTATCATTAAACCAAAGTTTTAAAGATAAAACTTTGACTTATCAGTCACATTTCCAAAACTTTTTTTTTTTGGGGGGGAGGGGGTCCAAGGAGTGATTTCCTTGGAAGAAAAGGTTTCTATGCAGCTATTTTGCCACCAAATCCTGCTTCCATCAATCCTTTCTTCACTGTTGACACAGGTTCCAGAGCTTCCCAAGAACCACTAGTAAGTATTGGTTAAATCCAAAGCTTCTTAATAATCTATTTCATTTATTATTGGTTGTAGTTCTTCTTTGAAGGCAAATATAATTTGATGGCATCCTGATTGTTTTTAATTGACAACACTTCTAGTTTTTTTCAAACTGTTGAAGTTTAAATATATTTTTTTTTACTATTTGAAACAGAAAGCTTTTCTTGCCACAATGTGAAT